CTGCCCTTCCTGAGCTTGTCGGGGGGGACCAGCGGCGTGCAGGTGCTCAGCCCGCTGCTGGAGCAGATCGCGGTGGGGCCCACGGACGGCACTGTGCGAGTCGTGGTGCGCAACGCCGCGCCCACGGGAGATGCCAAGCTGCTCCTCGACGCCAACAACCAGGCGGGCGTGGCGGAGCTCAAGGTGCTGGCCGGCGGCAATTGCGAGCTCAACGCGCAGTTCCAGTTCATAAGTTTAAACACCACCAACGGCCTGGCCAACCTGGCGATCGAGCCCAACATCGGGGGCAGCAACGACGGGGAGGTGATCTTCGGGTATGGCTTTGTCAATCTCTCGGACCGGGCACTCAAGGAGAACGTCCGGGCCATCCCGGAGGAGGAGCTGCAAGAGACCTTCGACAAAGTGCAGCCGTTGCTTTACGACCGCATCGACGGCGGCAGGGAGCGGATCGGCTTCGTGGCCCAAGACGTGCAAGCCAGCGGGAAGCTGGGAGCGACGATGTGCAAGACGAAGAACCTGGACGGCCGGGAGCTGATGGCCCTCGATTATCAGAAGCTCAGCGTGGTGCTGTGGGGCGTGGTCAAGAAGCTGCAGAAGCGGGTCGAAAAGCTCGAGAAGAAGAAGGGGCGCAAAGGCGACTCGGACTGAGACGACAAAAGCGCAGCCGAGGCACCTTCCGCTCGTAGAGAAGGCGGTGCGGTCATAGGCGTCGCCTGAGAAGCTGATCACAGCGTCCGAATCGCCCACAGCCAGCCTTGCGGTGCCCGGTAGCGAGCGCAGGTGCGCGTCAGCCAATGGACCACAGAAAAGTCTCCTGGCGGCAGGGCGAGCGCATCAAGCAGGAACCCCGCCCAGCCCCTGCCGCGCCTTGCCGTTTGCAGCCCTTTGCACGAAAGCAGCGCATGCACCTCAGTATAAAATGGCAGAGGACGGGGCAATGGAGCTCTTAGGGAGGCTTGCTAGAGACTACAACGTGAGGGATCCTAGAAAGCTCTACCAGATCGCGAGACGGGAGTTTCCGGACCGACGGGACCTCACAAGCGCGCGGGCCCAGGCGGCATTGCGCAGCGACGTGGCGCGGCAGGTGCTCGCACCGAAGCCGCGGAGTCTGGGGAAGAGTGCGGCGGAGGGGCCGAACGACCGCCTGCAAGCGGACCTCATCGATTTCAGCCAGAACACTCGGGGAGCCAACAAATTTGGCTTGGTGGTGACGGATGTGTTCACACGGGAGGTGGCCACCAAGGCCCTGCCCGACAAGCGGGCCGAGACCGTTACCCGAGCGGCCGCGGAGATCATCCCCGAGCTGGTCCAGGACGAAACCAACGTCGTGGTCACGACGGACATGGGGAACGAATTTCGGGGTTTGGAGGCGGCGCTGCCCGGAGGCGCGGTGCACCGCCAGAAGGACCCCTCGGACCGCAATGCGACGGCGGTGGTGGACCGGGCGATTCAAAACGTACATGCAACATCTTTTATCCCAGTGGCTGGATCGGCAACTGTACTGGCAGTTCAGGACGATGTCACAAACCTTTTTTCGGCAACACCTGATGCTGGGTGACAGGCCTGCTTGGGTCCACATTTTTGGTGTTTGATGTCGCTGGCAGTAGATAGTCATAATTAGTCTAGTTCAGTAGGACTGTAAAGTAAAAACTCCATTGCAGGATCATGGCCTCTTCCATCGGTACTTCACTCATGACACTGATGATCGACGGTATGGATCAAAGTAAATATAAAGTTCCCAGGATAAGGGACCAGTCTTCAAAGCTCCTGGGCCGGCTTTTCCGGCCGACTTTGCATGTGGCAGCTTGCTGGCTGCATGGGCGATGCTTGAACTTCTTTGTGGCGGATGAATGCTTGAAAAAGAACTCAGAAACACAACTGGAAATGCTAGGGAGAACCATTTCCGAAGTGATGGATTCCGGCATGCGGCTTCCTTTTGGGCTGGCTTTGCAACAAGACAACACGTATCGCGAGGGTAAAAACCAGTACGTCATCGCCTACCTTTGTTTGTTGGTCTGCTTACGGGTCTTCCGGTATACGGTCGCAAGTTTCTTGCGACCAGGCCACAGCTGCTCACTTGGTATTCAGCAGTGTTGAGACTAGTCTCCATATGCAATCCCCTGTGTCGCCACCGGCTTCGCGCAAAACTCTCCATGATCTGAGGCCATGAAGACCTGGACCAGGTCTTCTCGCAGCAGAGTGCATTCATTGGCCGTCACTGCTTTGATTCCGCTTCGGAGGTTGTGCAGTTGATAGACTCCACATATCGGCCAGATGATGTTGGGGAACGGGAAAGGAAACGAGCCAAGACTGCCAGTGTTACCATGACGTGCGTCAAACTGGATTCTGTGGCATTGTGGCAGGACTGGGTTGCTGTCCTGGGTTTGCGCTTCAAGGGGCTGCGAAACTAGCTTGAGTTGTTTAGAACCGCATTTTCTTTTTTGGAAGATTCTCAGTGTTGGCTTTGTTTTCAGCGATTGCTGCTGCTTTGTAGTGAGCAGCCAAGGCAAAGTCGGCCAAGTTCGTTTCTGTCTTCGTGGAGACCTGGACCCTTCTTCTTATGGCGGGTGTGTGCCACATGAGCTCACAGGATGTGAACCGAGCCCTGAAGACATCATGCTTCTTGCAAAACGGTTTATGGCAGATGCCACGCCGTACTATGTGGCGTGTGTTGTCTCAGCTCAACGAGCGGCAGACCTGCGAAGCAGCTTTCAGCAGCCCACAGGTACGGCTGATCGCCGAGCGATCAGCCCGAAGGTTCGTAAGAACATCACTGCTCTAGCACCGAAATGTGTAAATCAGGGCATTTTGAGCCGCGAGGCAGAAGCCTACTTGACCAACTGGTGCGAAGGGACTTGGCAAAAGCAGCCGAGGCCTGTCTCTTACAGTCACTTGGAATACCGCAGGCCCGACGATCGGGTCTTCGGCGTGAATGCAGTGGGCTCTCGCATGCCTTGGCGAAAGCCTCCCCGTAGCCGTGTGATCAACTTGCGTTCGAGCGCAGAACGTGGATCTGACGATGAGGCGTCGGACCACGATGATGCAGAAGTGGATTTCGATGCCCAGACTTAGAATGCTGGGAATTGAGCCTCGTGAAGTGTTGGCTGCACCTGCTTGCAAATCTGTGGAAAAGACCTTGCCATCAACTTCTGTCCATTGATTATGATTGCGGCCCATGCAGACCCCTCTCCAAACCTTGATGGAAAAAGACATGTTTTGCAGGACCAACGACGAAGCGGACGACGAGATCCTTGCTGCCAGTGACGATGAAAGGCTTGCCCCGCATTTTTGTTCGTGCCAGCCAATCCCCGCATCTTGAGCATGCTGGTCAGGATGCAGCTGCATGCTCGTTCAGACCGCGAGGATACCGATGGTGACATTAAGTCCCCTTCGGTGTTGCCAGCCACAGACGATGAGGATGGTCAAAGTGCAGCTCCTGGGTCCGATGCCTCCGGTGGCGTCTCTCGCCGTAGCATTCTGCGTAGTGTAGTACCCTAACCATAGTAGTTGCGAGATTCCGTTTTTCAGAGCGGGCAAGGTCGGTTTTTGGGCAATGGATCAATTGGCCAGAAACCGCGAGCTTGCCAAGATGATCAAAGACAGCCTCACCCAGGCAGCGTGCAACGGTGAAGAGGTCAAGGTGGGCTCCTTGTGTTCCGGATGGGGTGTGGGTGAAACGGCCATTGATGCGCTTAACAATGCTGTGGCGATGATCGAGCAAGCTGCTGAAACCCCAGGTTCTAGCCCGGCCAAGGCCTGGTTGGAGTTGTTGAGTCTACTTCATCGTGGTCTGGGTTTTAGGATTATGCTCTCAGTCTAGCTGTAGGGATTCGGGTTTAATTCAAGGGTCGAGGGTTATAGAGTCTAGGATTTACCTTAGGGTTTCGGTTAATCGCTCTCTGCCCCCTGCAGCTGCGGGTGGTGTGGATGTGCGAGCAGACACGATGGAAAGCTGAGCAGCTTCATCGTTCGTTTCCACATGTGAAGCACATCTTCTCCGATATGAAGGATTTGGCCTGTGGTCGTGCCTACGACTATATCACCCAAGCATCTGCGGACGTGGAGAGCGCAACTAGGCTGCTTATCTGCTGGTGCCCGGCTCACCTTTTAGCTGCTGCTCTGATTGTGTGGACCCGGCCTAAGGTGGATGGCATCCTCGCAGGATACCCATGCAAGTCCCTCTCCTTGCAGAACAATGAGGCCAAGTCATTTACGGACAAGAGCTCCAGCACGGGAGCTGGATTTTGTGCACTTCTGAAGTATGTAGATCGCCACCTGAGCACCTTGCAGTGGATCATCACAGAGAATGTGGCAGAGATGTCAAACCAACGGAAGAAGTTCAAGGATGAAGTGCCCATCAAAATCCAAACCGATGCTTTTGCAAAACGAGGTTTCCTTGGATGGAGTTGGGTGTTGGATGCCCAGTCCTACGGCTTGCCCCAAAGCCGCAGGCGGACTTGGGCAGTTTACATCCGTGAGAACTTAGTGAGGACGGCCCGAGTTTCTTTGATGTTCGCTGTTGTCCGATGCAGCCCTTGTTCGTTGGATGTTGCTTGTCGCTGTGCACAGGAGCCAGGATGGACCATTGGGGGTCATGGACCGACTTCGCTCCCCGGCCGTGTCTGGATGTATGAATAAGTTTCTGCAGCCACCCTCCACAAAGACTTGTGAAGTCACGAAAGGGCAGGCCCAGGCAAAAGGCGATGCGAAGTGGAAGAAGACCTACAAAGCCTTCGACGATGAAACCAAGGCTGCGAGTGCATTCTTGTGAGGTTGTGGTTTTTGGGGCTTGGGGATGCTTTGCGCGTAGGGTTTTCGCTCCAAGTTGAAGGGCCCCAGCCCCCACCCCCTCTGTTGCCACCCCTCTCGCGATGCCCCTCTCAGTTCCCGAAAGATTGTGGGTTACCTAGGTAGGGTTTAGAGTTTGTTTTGGGCAGGCCCACATGGTCCGCACCGAGCTGAAGCTTCGCGACAAAGGCTTGGCCGTCACCGAGAGGGAGATGATGGTTTTGTGTTATGGTGTGTTCAAGCTTGAGAAGCTGGGTCGAGACCCATTTGCAGAGACGTTGCTAGTGCAAGTGGAGTTTCAGCTGCATATGCTTGCATGTTTCTATTGTGTCAGCATGTGGAGGCCAGCACGTTTGTTGCATCTGAGATCATCTGAGCCAAGGATCAAGCTTTCAATCGCCAGATCTTTTGTCGAGCCAATCCCACGGTGGTGCCGTGCCTTCTCCCAAAGGGCAAGTACATAGTGACAGGACGATGGACCGTCTTGTCTGGCCAGGACCCCGGGCCCTTAACGTTGAACCCTACACCTTAAGTCGTCCCTGTCGTGTGGAAAAGAGAGAGAGTCGCGGAAGGAGAAAATGGCGTTGCAGGGGATATCTCCTTCTGAGATGGAGACCTACAGCTTCACCGAGCTTTCGGACTGGAAACAGTCAGATCTTGCCGGCAATGCGTGGGCTGCTCAGCCACAGGGCTCATGGCTGGCGGAAGAGATAGTCTCCAAAGTGATTGGGGGTAAGCGTTTGCTGAGAGAGTGTGAGAGAGAGAGAGAGAGAGAGTGAGAGTAAGAGAGAGAGAGAGAGAGAGAGAGAGTAGAGAGAGTCAGAGAGAGAGACAGACAGAGAGTGTGTGTTTTTGTTTGGTCGGTTGGTGGGCCGTGTGCGTGTGCGTGTGCGTGCGCGTGCGCGTGTGCATGTGCGTGTGCGGGTGCGTGCGCGCGTGTGGGTGTGTGTGTGTGGTGTGTGGGTGTGTCAAATATAGACTCTAAGGCATGACCCCCCTAGAAACCCCGCTGGTTCATGATTGGCTGTCTGCAGGTTTGCCGCCACCGTCTGTTTCAGTGTGCTGGCGTCCACGCTGACAGTGTGGCTGCCGCAGAAACATTGAGCCAAGGACTTTGCTATAGCTGCTAGTTGTCTGAGACAAATTCAAAGCTGGGCCCCGGGGAGCGGCTCCAGTCTGACTTGCTGAATCTGAATCATCATCAGATGAGAGCGAGCCCTGAAAATCACCGAGCAGTTGCAAATGATAATTAGGTTCACTGCTTGTTCGAGCTCATGTCATGTAGCGCTTGTAATGCTTCTACGAGTCAGAGCATTTCTTCATCGAGCGCCCCGTGGTGCTTGTCGCAAGTTTGCAGATGCCTCCAAGAAAGAAGCAGCGAACCTCGGGTCAACGATCACAGGCCGTAGCCGCCGGTGAGGCTACAACCCGAGCAGCTAGTGACATCAAGGATGTGAATGATTTCCAGCTGAAGCTGGATGCATGGATCGATGCTACACATGGTTTGCGCCATCATGTTGAGAAGCAGCTTCCGTGTGAACCGACGGAACCTTTGGGCTTCGGACCCCAGCCCGGGCAATTTGCCTGGCCTTTGTGTGAGGGCGGGACTCTCAAAGATATTGCTCAAAGAGCATGGTCCGACCCGGATCACCTTTTGGCTTTGAGTGCACGAATGACACATGCGGCAGGTTTGTTGGACACGGATAGTGTTGAGGACTTCAAGACCCACTTCTGTACGATTCCAGATACTTGTCTGCATTTTGCTTTGGGGCTCTGTGCGTCAGACTACTTGGGCCTTTGAGGTCAAACTAAACAGGAAGGGTACGTTTAGGTTTGGAGTTAGGGGTTTGGGGTAGGCTTTGGGGTTCAGGGCTTCTGTAGTTGATGGTTGAGGTTTTGGGACAGGCGTACTGATGGTGGAGTTTCCTTAGTAGGCAGGGTTTGGGTTCTAAGGGTTGGGCTGGGGTATTTCCGGTGCCCCGTGCCTGGTGACCCTTCCAAGGCCCGAACGTACACTCCCAATGGGGAAGGGTTCTCAGGGGTTGGGAGTCACTTTGTTCCAGCAATACTGTCTAGCCCGTCTTGACAGGAATGGCCCCCGACTGCGGGGAACTTCTTCAACACCTGCGTCCTATCCTGGTGCATGGCTGATGAAAGCTTCTGGCGAGGACCCGCCGTGAGCATGTCAGAGGTGGTTGGGTACAGCAGGAGCATGGCCCTCACAAGGTTCCGTGAGGCCTGAGATGACGAAAGTTATGAGTTCATCATCTTTTATGCCCGGTTATGCTCCTGTGATCAGCAATAGGACACCTTCTCGGTTGCATTCTTGCAAGTGTGTTGTTGGCAGAATTGCGGAAACCTTGTTTTTCCCCTACAAAACCGCATGCTTGCCGAGAGTGTTGGGATCATTTGTTGGGTTTTGCAAGAACAGGAGGCCGGGATGCGGACGTGAGTTTTTCGGGGCACCAAAATCCAAAATAATTGGGGTGCGGCATGGACATTAAGGGACTAAGCGGTGGGTTGTAGAGTCAGATGCCCTCGGCTTGGGTGTGGGGCTGTCCCAACATGCTCAACCCGACGACCTCACTGAGGATCTAGGGTTGAGGAGGGTTTACGGGGGGCCATCCCATGGCAAGCCACCATAAAGCACAATAAATGAAAAAGGTGCCATGTGACCTGGACCCACTCTCAACCCTACCACCTCACTGAGGTCCTAGGGTTGAGGGTTGTTGGCATTGACCGTGGCCACTCATAGCCGCAACCCTCCCGCAACTTTTGCAACCCTACCACCTCAGCGAGGTCCTCAGCGTGAATAAACCCTCCGTTGTCGTGTTGGTGCTCAACCCTACCACCTCAACGAGGTCCTCAGCGTGAATTAACCCTCCGTTGTCGTGTTGGTGCTCAACCCTACCACCTCAACGAGGTCCTCAGCGTGAATAAACCCTCCGTTGTCGTGTTGGTGCTCAACCCTACCACCTCAACGAGGTCCTCAGCGTGAATAAACCCTCCGTTGTCATGTTGGTGCTCAACCCTACCACCTCAACGAGGTCCTCAGCGTGAATAAACCCTCCGTTGTCATGTTGGTGACCAGCCCTACCACCTTAGCGAGGTCCTCAGCGTGAGATTTCCCTCCGTTGTCGCGTTGGCCCAGAGAACACTCGTCAGGCTCCCAGTGAACCAATCCGTCAAGTGCTTGACAATGATGACCTACGATTATACAAATTATTATTACTACTACTAGTCTAGAAAAGCTTTCGCTAGGATCTGTGAACACCAGACAAAGTATTCAAAATCGCTTGTTCGTCCCAGTCCAGCAAAAGCCCGAGCCAAACCCAATTGATCAGTGGTTTTCTGTGTCGTTGCCAGGGGGAGCAGATGGTGCTGCGAATGCCGAGCAGCACCGATGCTACAGTGGATTCCAGCAACAGAGCTGTGGGCACACTGCTTTATGGGGATGGGTCACAGAAGATGCTCGCAGCCTTCACCGCCTGGATCGGCTTGTTGTCGCTTTGGGAATCTGAGCCGAATGTCTTTGACAATGATCAGGTTCAAGGTTTGATAGCATCATTCTTGAGCATTCCTACATGCACGAAGTCATCTGTGGAAAGCAATGACAGCCTGACGGCTACGATTGGCCGCATTGTGAAGCAAAACATCGATTCAAAGGTCCTTCCTGTTTCTTCGTTCCAGTGGAACTCCATTTTGCGAAGTCTCAAAGTGGAGGTCAAGCTGGATGTGGCTTTGAGGGTTTACAACTCCCACCCAGACGTCGTGGCACATGATGAAAGCGGCAGCGGCTGCGTGACTTTGGACAATCGGAAGAAGCAGGGCGTCCAGAATTGGTTCGAGCGAACGTGCGATGAAGCATTGGCTGTGGTACTTCAGTCAACACATGACCTGGCATTTTCTTATGGATGCTTCGGGGAAAGCTTCTCGCTGTGCAACTTCGCCTTTCTCGGGAGTGCAGCGAACCTTATGGCTTCAGAGACAGCAGACTTGACCATGCGCCCCCTCGACAAGGAGCCGTTTGTGTCTGTTGTTACTTGGCGAAGATAGAAGATACACCATTGCATGCGGTTCTGAGCGAGCTTGTTTTGCATCCTGCCGGATCAGTCCAAGGACTGGCGCTTGCCAATGACGGCGAGTGCCCAGGTCCTTCTCTTCAAACGAGTGCAGGAGACTCGACCCGAAACGTATAACCAAAACCCCCAAAACCCTAAAGCCTCGTATAAACCCTAAACCATTCAACCAGAGGAGCAGTTCAACCGGACGACCACCGGCATCCCTGTGAACCAGAGGAAGAAGTACAGGCTGACCTCTGAGGATCTCGTCAAGCTCAGAAATTGTTGCGTGTTGTTCGAGCAGTGCTTCCACTTCCTCGAAGCACAGGTGGGCAGCGAGGCAGTGTCGTGGAGAGAGTCGTTCATCAACGGCCACGACGAGGATTGGAGGGTGCTGCTGGATGTTCGACCATCGACTGTGGCCTTGAGTATGCTGCAGTCTGTGCAAGAGAAGGCCCGAGAGACACTGCTGCAGAAGGAGAACATCGCAATGAAAGATGTGGAGGACCAAAGGCAGCAAGTGTTGGAGGCTGAGTGGAAGCTCTTCTGCTCCGGCTTGAAAAAAGACCAGGAGACCGTGAAGCTTGCATCTGATGCTCCTCGCCAAGTCAAGATGCTGCAGCATGCTCGCGAGGTGGAGCAGAGGAAAAGCCAAGCTGCAGATGGTCTCAAGGCAGCTTCCGGGTACCAGGCGGGGTCAGATATTCCAATCAGAATCAATGTTTAGGGGTCAGCGGTGTTGGGAACAACCCATGCACACATTGTTAAGTTAAGGCTTCGGGCTCCACTGGCAACTCGCAGAGACAATCCCTTTGTCAAATGTCGTAGCACTGCGGCCGTTTCTTGTGTGTTGGCCGAGTAAGATTATCGTTGCGCTGCGTAAAGTAGAAGAGAATCATTATATTCTCCCAAGCATATGGATACGGCTATGGGGAGTTTTGGTATGGGACCACAGTTGTTAGTTTTGGGTTTTATTGGGTGGCCCAAACCAGGTCTTTTCAACCCAAGCGAGAGCTTCATTGGGTTGAAAATATTAAATGGAGCCTTGTCAGGGGCTTGTTTTCCAAGCGAGGGTTTTGGGTTTGTGCGACAGCAGGAAGCATACCTTCGAGTCGTGAAGCTGGCCAAGATGGAACTTGCAACAGCGGAAGTGTCCAAGATGAAGAGCAGTATCGCATCTTATCTGAGTTGGTTGTGGGATGATGCCTGCTACTGCTAAAGACAATGATCTGATCTGCGAGTCCCAGCGAACATGTTTGGGCATGCTTCATGCCGGCTGGCGTTCTTAAACTCTTGTTGAGGAAGATTGACTTGCGCTAATTGAGGCAGCTGAGCTGGCATGCTCCCGAGAGAGTATTTCCATCCTTGGGTTCGCAGACATGAACGTGCCAAAGTGCAGGCAGAAGGAGGTTTGCCAGAGCATTTGCAATGGGATCGCTGCCATCAATGCAGATGGCCCAGCCGAGCAAAATGCGACCCTGTTGTTGCTGCCAGACCTTCCCCGCGACTCGAGTCCCAGAGGGTTGTGGGACGAAGAAAAAAGGGTGTTCGAAGCCTTGTTTTCCTTGCAGCAACACGTGGAGACAAGATTCGTTGAATGCTTCACACGTGAGAAAAAGGGCGAGGTGAAATCCAATGCGAGGCGTTTCTCTATGGGGAGAGTTGTGTGCAACAGTGCTTCCATGGACGATTGCATTTGGATGAGTGGAGAGCTCGCA